ACAGATATTAAAATACTATCCTCTATTCTTGCTGATTGAATAAAAAGAGTCATACCACAACTAATTAATAATGACCAAGTAGGATTCATACCAGAGATGTCTCCAATAAACACTCTTAGAAAAATAATAAACATATTGGAAGAAACAGAGAACAATGAAACCCCATTAATGCTACTGTTAATAGACGCACAGAAAGCGTTTGACAGAGTTGGATGGGACTTTATGTTTGCCGCCTTAAAACAATTTGGATTTGGTGGACCAATATTACAAGCAATGTCCGCTCTCTACAGCTCGCCATCACCAAAAGTAGGAGGCTCAGGATTCACATCACAAAGCTTTACTATCAAAAACGGGACTAGACAAGGGTGTCCTCTTTCCCCTCTCTTGTATATAATGGTGTTGGAACCACTTACGATTCTAATAAGACAAAACAAAATCATTAAAGGATTTACAAGCTCCTTAGGGCAAAGCAAATTAAATATTTACGCAGACAACATCGTATTAACATTGGAAGAACCTAAAACCTCGGCCCCAGAGCTTTTAAACGAGATAAACAAATTCTCTAATGTGTCAAGATATAAAATGAATATAGAAAAATCAATATTTATAGCCAAAAACCTGAACACTAGACTAATTAAATTTCTTGTACAAAACCTTGAGCTTTTAGAAAACAAGGACAAGCTAAAATACTTAGGTATAACACTGACCTTAAAATGAAAAAATTTGGTCGAAACACATTTCTTACCCTTAATAATCCAAACTAACAAAAATCTTAAGGATTGGAAAGGTATGGGATTCTCCTGGTCAGGTAGGATCAACATCTTAAAAGCATATATTTTACCAAAATGGCTGTACCTATGGAGAATGATCCCACTTAACTTCCCAGAAAACTGGATATCCTTGCTACTCTCATCATTTTCTAAATTTGTATGGGGCGGTAAGAAAGCTAGAGTCAAAATGAAAGTTTTGACTAGATCATGGCAGGATGGTGGTCTGGGATGCCAGGAAATTTTACAGTGTTACCAAGCTAGTAGACTTTTCCACATAATGCATAATGGAATGGAAATAAAACATCGCAGCAACCCAAGAAACATGGTATAAAATGGAAAAGGCCAAAACCAGGGTAGAAAATGTAACATCACTATTTTGGGACCTAGACGGGAACAAAAAAATCTATCCAAGAGGCATGAACTAAATCTCAGATCCTCAAAGAATTAACGAGTTGGTGGGATAAATGTTTTTGAATATAACTCAGTAATTCAGGGTTTGGAGAGTTGGTATGATAATATTTCAGAATGTGGTATGTGATATATGGTGTGTTTTCAGAGGCTTTATGAGCATTATTTTATGGTAGAGAAACCATAAAGTGAGTTCAGAACCTTTTCAGAATAACGATCTTTAAAAATTACACATTTTGGGGTGCAGGGCTTGACTGCAATGGCGAGTGGTCGCATGGAGCACGAGCTCTGCAGATTATCTGCTTAAATACCAATATAATATCAAGGGTAGTGAACATAATACTGTCCACCCTATCAAAAATTTTTGCCAGATAAAACACTCTAGTTTTGATTCCCAAGCTATCCCCCCCCCCCCAAAAAAAACCCCCCTCTTTCTACCACATTCACCCTTATAACAGTGGGTGGGAGGGAGAGGGATAGGCAAAATTATACAAAAAATAAACATTATAATTACAGATTTCAGCCCCAACAAAAAGGCCAAATTTAAAATCAAGTTCTGCCATAACTATTTAAAAAATAAAAAAGACCAGATCACAAAAAAAAACAACAGAAAAACTAAAATAATAATAATCATTTTAACCTTCATCACATCAGGCAGCTGCTTTCCACATAATTAAAAACACTGTCCCTCCGTTCAGTGATCTCGACTCCCCTGCCTGTCCCCCTGAGTTAACCCTGCATGGTATTTATCCTGCATAAAAGCGTTAAGGGCCTACCTACCGGATACAACACAGCACGAGGGTATATCTTGAAATACTGAGCTTGTGTCTTAGGCTCCAGATTTGTCAACTTATCTCCAGGCCTCAAGGAGTGCTTAATGTATGTTGTGGCTAGACTGACCTCGTATTTTAGGGGTACTTCTTAGAAGAGGCTAATTATTTACAGTAAACCTTTGATCATAGAGGGGTAGATGTTGCTATGAACTTTATTTAGTGCCAATTGTTTCATCGTATCACACTAAGGTGTGGATTCTGTTAAAGGGACACTATAGTCACCTGAACAACTTTAGCTTAATGAAGCAGTTTTGGTGTATAGAACATGCCCCTGCAGCCTCACTGCTCATTCCTCTGCCATTTAGGAGTTAAATCCCTTTGTTTATGAACCCTAGTCATACCTCCCTGCATGTGACTTGCACAGCCTTCCATAAACACTTCCTTTAAAGAGAGCCCTATTTAGGCTTTCTTTATTGCAAGTTCTGTTTAATTAAGATTTTCTTATCCCCTGCTATGTTAATAGCTTGCTAGACCCTGCAAGAGCCTCCTGTATGTGATTTAAAGTTCAATTTAGAGATTGAGATACAATTATTTAAGGTAAATTACATCTGTTTGAAAGTGAAACCAGCTTCTTTTTTTTCATGCAGGCTCCGTCAATCGTAGCCAGGGGAGGTGTGGCTAGGGCTGCATAAACAGAAACAAAGTGATATAACTCCTAAATGACAGTGAATTGAGCAGTGAAATTGCAGGGGAATGATCTATACACTAAAACTGCTTTATTTAGCTAAAGTAATTTAGGTGACTATAGTGTTCCTTTAAGATAAACTTAACCTGAATAGAATGATCTCCCATTATTAGCTCAAGGGCTTGTCTCTTAAAATAGGATCTAGCATTTTGTTATAAAAAAAAATCTATGTAACCTAGATTTGTATTAAGGAACTGCATTGTGGTACTGCATTGTATTAAGGAACTGCATTGTGGTACTGCTTTGTATGTTAAAGGCTGCTAGACGAATGCAACAAGGTTTTATCTATTACATTGTAGCAAATTGTAGGACTCAAAGGAATGCCCTTAGGACTCAATGGAAACCCACATTTTTCTTTACTTTCTGTTTTCTAACTCACTAAAATACATGCTCAAGGTTTGCCAAATAAATAAATTATGCTTACAAGTCCTGATATAAACACAATTGACTTCCATTCAAGCCAATGCTGTTGTATGTACTGCTCTCCAAGTAGGGCCAGTGTAAGGATTTTTAGCCAGAAAATAAAAAAAAAAATGGTAAAAAAAAATTAAATGTATCTACACCTGTGTGTCTTGAACCCCGCCTTTTGAATTTCTTAGCCCTTTTAGTGTTTCATATCCCCTCTTTTGAATGTCTTACCCCTTTTGTGCTTTAGTGTATTTTATTCCCCCGTTAGTGGGTCTTACAACCCCCCTTTGTGTGTGTGTTTCTTTGTTCCCCCTGCCCCTTTATATGTCTCTTATTTCCCCCCAGACCGTTTCTGTGCCCATTTCTTGCCCCCGCCCCTTTCTGTGTCTCCTTCTCCCCAACAGTCACTCAGTCTGTTTTTTGTGTCTTTCCTCCGAAGCCATGTAGACATAGATATGCAGGCAAAAATATGTACATTCACAGAGACACACACATACAGAATCACAACCATAAAGGCACATATTCAAAAACAGTCATACAGGTACACTGTCATACTAACAGAGACATAATCATACAGAGACATACAGACACACAGAGACATACAGACACAGTCACACAGAGAACTATATGCATACAGAGGCATACATACAGAGACATACAGGCACACAGATACATACATACATTCATACAAAGATATACATGCATAACGAGACATACATACAGATACATACATATATATATAGAGACATACAGCATACAGAGACATACATGCTTACAGAGCCGTAGATGCTTACAGAGACATACATACATACAGAAACATCCAGTCATACAGACACATGCATACGTACAAATATATAGAACAGGGGCGTACCTGGATCATTTGGCACTCGGGGCAGATCCTTTATTAGGCACCCCTACCCCCAACTTTAAAATGTAAAAAACAACAACTATTTTTTTTTAATGTATTTAGCCTGAGCAAAGTTTGTATATTTTTAATGTAAGCATTTTTTTGTATGGAGTATGTGTGAGTGAATGTACGGGTGTATTTGCACATATTGGCATTTGAATGCAGGCGTGCATTTTTCTGTAGTGTGGTATTTGAATATGGTGGTGTGTTTTTATGTAGTGTTGACATTTGGTTGCCGGGTTGTATTTGTGTGTAGTGTAGGTGAAATCCTGAGATGTATGCACATATACACACACTGGCACACATACAGATACACAGACACATAGGTACACACATGCAGTTACATAGAAACATAGTAATACACAGATAAAGACAAATACTGACACACATACAGATACAAATACACATACAGACACACAGAGAGACACATACATACAGATACACAGACACACAAACAGAGACACAGACATACAGATACACATGTATATGTGTGTGTTTGCGTAGTGAATGCAGTGTGTTTGCCTAGTGGATGCAGTGGATGTGTTTGTATAGTGTATGCAGTGTGTGTATAGTGAATGCAGCTTGTGTGGATAATGTATGCAATGTGTGTATAGTGTATGCAGCTTGTATAAATAGTATATGCAGCTTGTGTGTAGAGTGTACATAGTGTATGGAGTGTGTGTATAGTGTATGCAGCTTGTGTGTGTATGGAGTGTGTATAGTGTATGGAGTGTGTGTATAGTGTATGGAGTGTGTATGGTGTATGGAGTGTGTATAGTGTATGCAGTGTGTGTATAGTGTATGGAGTGTGTATACTGTGTATAGTGTATGCAGTGTGTATAGTGTATGGAGTGTGTATAGTGTATGCAGTGTGTGTATAGTGTATGCAGTGTGTGGATAGTGAATGCAGCTTGTGTGTGTGTTGTGTGGCATAAGTGCTGGGAAGGTGAGCAGCGTGGTTTGCACTTCCCGCCCTTCCTGACACTTACCTGTCCCTCCCGTCCTCCTCGACGGGTGGTCCTGGTGGTCTGGTGGCACAGCTTTAGATGGGCAGTGAAGAGGGGCCCAGAACTCTGAACACTCATTTCCCATCCAGCAGCAGCAGCAGCAGGGTCCTCTGTTCTCGTGATCCGCGAGAGCATTGCCGCGGGTTGCCAACGCTGTTTGCAAGAACAGAGGATCCTGCTGCTGCTGGATGGGAAACTTGCGTGGATACTCTCGTAAGCGGCTGGTCCCTTTATATAATGCCGCCCCTGTGAAAGTGCGCCCCGGGCACTCCTATAGTTAATGGCACCCACCTCCCCCCCCTTAGTACGCCACTGATATAGAGACATTCAAGCATACAGAGACATACATGCTTAGAGAGACGTAGATGCTTACAGAGACATATATGCATACAGAAACATACAGGCATACAGACACTACTCCATCCATCTGGACCATCCAGGGTTGCACGGCACTAATCAGTGAACAGGACTGTTTGAAAATTAGTATTCATGTATTTTTCTGCCCAATGCAGCCGTTTCTGCTTGTGAGCATTGGTTAGTGAATGGCTGAATAGAAGGTTTATGCACAGTTGCAAGACTCTGGAGGACTCTACACCTTGATGTCCGTGGGACTCCAGAGGCACCAGCAGCTTCAAATATCTGTTTGCTGCTATGTAATGGTATTTGAGCAGCTGCTCTCTTGATCCGATGCATGGATCTGGCAGAAATCTTCCTCAATGTGCCTTTATTTACACGAACCTGTCTGTGCTTTGAATCACCCACAAATCTCTTAATAGTGCGATGATCACGCTTACGTTTTCGTGAAATATCTAATGTTTTCATACCTCTTTTCGGCAGCAGAGAAATCCTTTTTCTTCCCCATATTGCATGAAAATGGTGCTCTGCTTAATAATGTGGAACACCCTCCTTTAGTAATTTTTCCTTAAATTGGGCTCACCTGGCAACCTAATTATCACAGGTGTTCGAGATTGTTTTCAGTGATCAAAAGAGCCCTGAGATACAATGCCATCCATGAGTTAAACTGAAAAACAAAATATTTAATCTTTGTGCCACTTAACCCCTTAAAACCGGAGGACATACAATTACGCCCTCTAATAGGCGGCTCTAAACGCCGCCGGGCGTAATTGTACGCCCTCCGGTTTTTGTTAACTTACCCGGTCGCCGGCGGTCCCACGCCGGCGATCGCGGTTGGGGGGACTCCCAGGGAGCCCCCCGCGGCACCTCCGTCCTCCTCGAAGCCCCCCGGCCATGTGAGAGTGGGGTCCTAGCGAGGACCCCACAATCACATGGCCGGGGATAGCTGGCTTCTGTATTGCCGGCAGGGGGGCTGCCTGTAATGACAGGTGGTCCCCCTGCTGGCTGAAAATAAAATAAAAATAAGTTAATGGTGTAAAAAAAAAATAATTATATATACTTAGATCATATATATATATTATATATATGATCTAAGTATATATATACACATATACGTACACCGTCTAGGTGTATTTTACTAATAATATATATATAATTATATATATTAATATCAAATTACACGTAGACTGATACTGATTAAATATATATATAATTATTGTTAAATATATATTTATATATAATATAAAAAAATAAAAATGTAAATGCGTTAAAAAATAAAATTAAAAAAATAATTAAAAATAAATAATTAAAAAATATATAGATGTGTGTTATTTCGTTCTAACTGTTTTGTGAAATTAATATATATATATATATATATCAAAATACACATAGAACGAAATAATATATATATCTATATACATAAATATATACGTATATATCACTATATATATACCTATATATAAATAAAAATATTTAAAAAAAATTATATAGATATATACATATATATACACATACGTATATATATACATATATTAATTCTACATATATATTTATGTAATATTTTACATAATTAGGTATCTTAATTAGTTACAATTAGCAGGACCTGCCTGACAACCCATGCCGAAAGTAAAGGGAATTTAATTTGCTAGCACTATATTTAACCCTATAACTTTCCGAGACACCATAAAACCTGTACATGGGGGGTACTGTTCTACTCAGGAGACTTCGCTGAACACAAATATTAGTGTTTCAAAACAGTAAAATGTATTACAACGATGATATCGCCAGTAAAAGTGACGATTTTTGCATTTTTCACGCACAAACAGCATTACACGGACAATATTATTGCTGTGATACTTTTTACTGTTTTGAAACACAAATATTTTTGTTAACAATCAGCTTCCCTCATGTAGGATTTATAATGACCTCAAAGCGTCAAATATAAGGCTTGCATTTCAGTTTTTTCACATTAAAATTAGCCAGATTGGTTATGTTGCCTTCGAGACCCTATGGTAGCCCAAGAATGAAAATTACCCCTATGATGGCATACCATTTGCAATAGTAGACAACCCAAGGTATTGCAAACAGGGTATGTCCAGTCTTTTTTAGTAGCCGCTTAGTCACAAACACTGGCCAAAA